AACTTACAATAATTACTCTAATAAAAAAACTAATTAGTAAACTGATAAAACCCTAAGATTGTAAATAAAGCTACTTATATTTAAAGCAATGAAATAAGGACAGCTGGAAGTGAAACGGGATGAAATGGAGAGTGCTTGCAGTGAGGATAAATAATAAGATCATGATGATGTTATATAATAATAATAATAAATAAGTTTCAAACAGGATCATTACAAAACTTTGGTTTCCTCTAAATAACAAGATTACTGTGCTCTGAATATCGTCACTGGAGATATTACGACAACTAAAAACAGGGAGGATAATTATCTCGTTTCAGGTACTCTCAGATGAATTATCTCAGGATCATTAATCCCAAAGTGGGGTTACAGGATAAACATCTGTATTTATTACTTTTGTAAATTAGTTTTTATTATAAGAATGTGTTAAATACACAGTGAAGTTGCTGGAGTTAAAGTACCTTTAACAGTACGGCTGCAGTACCATAATAATACTGCAGTACCGCGGTAGGACCAGTAGGAGGGTTCAGGCAGTCGGTCAGTCCGTCGCTCAGGATCCTTTCTGTTTACCTGCACACCTGGAGGACGGCAACAAGCAGAGGAGGAGGAGAAGAAGAAGAAGAAGGAGGAGAGGTTAGACTGCCGGAACCCGACTCAGGTTCCTGGTTCATCAGCCTGAGAAAACTCAACGAGAGGAACGAGTCACAAAACGGCCGTCAACAGAATATAGAGAATCCAGAAGGAACAGCAGTGAACGCACGGACGTTATAAAGCTGCAGCGTTGGACGGGCCCTCGCAGCGTGGAGCGCGCCGGGGGCCATTGAATAAAAATGGCCGACTTCCTGTTGGGTTTTAGGCCTCGCTCCCGGAGCCGTTTTTGCAGGTCTGGACAAGATTCATGTGCCACAAACGTTTCGGGGAAACGTGAAAGGCGGCTAAATAACTTACTTCACCAAGACCTGCCCTCAATTGGCACCGACTTATCTCTTAACTCAGGAACCTTAGAAACAGCTGTAGAACCAGATACATGTTTAGACTGTTTTGCTTCCCTCAATCTTTACCAACTAACTTCAATAATTTCTTCATCTAAACCATCAACCTGCCTCTTAGACCCCATCCCGACTAGGCTGCTTAAAGATGTTTTACCCTTAGTCAGCACCTCTATACTAGATATGATCAATCTATCTCTATCAACAGGCTATGTACCACAGTACTTTAAAGTAGCTGTAATTAAACCTCTTCTGAAAAAGCCCAAACTTGATCCGGATGTTTTATCAAACTATAGACCTATATCTAACCTTCCATTTCTCTCTAAGGTTCTGGAGAAAGCAGTTGCTAAACAGCTGTGTGACTTTCTACAGAGCAATAGTTTATTTGAGGATTTTCAGTCAGGATTTAGAGCTCATCATAGCACAGAGACAGCACTGGTGAAAATTACTAATGACCTCCTTATTGCATCAGACAAAGGACTTGTCTCTGTACTGGTTTTATTAGATCTTAGTGCTGCATTTGATACCACTGACCATCAGATCCTATTGCAGAGACTGGAATATTTCATTGGCATTAAAGGAACCGCTCTAAGCTGGTTTAAGTCCTATTTATCAGATCGATTTCAGTTTGTACATGTTAACGATGAGTCCTCCATGCAGGCCAAAGTTACTCATGGAGTTCCTCAAGGATCTGTCCTTGGACCAATCCTCTTCACTTTATATATGCTTCCTTTAGGCAATATTATCAGGAAACATTCCATAAGCTTTCATTGTTATGCAGATGATACTCAGTTATATCTATCGATCAAGCCAGATGAAACTCATCAGTTAGCTAAACTTCAAATGTGCCTTCAGGATGTTAAAACCTGGATGAGCTGTAATTTTCTTATGTTAAACTCAGATAAAACTGAAGTTATTGCTCTGGGGCCTAAGCACCTCCGTGACGCATTATCTAAAGATATAGTTTCCCTGGATGGCATCGCCTTGGCCTCCAGCACCACTGTGAGGAATCTTGGAGTTATCTTTGATCAGGACATGTCGTTTAAGTCCCACATTAAGCAAATTTCAAGGACCGCCTTTTTTCACCTACGTAATATTGCGAAAATCAGGAACATCCTGTCTAAAAATGATGCAGAAAAACTAGTCCATGCATTTGTTACTTCTAGGCTGGATTACTGCAATTCCTTATTATCAGGCTGCTCGAAAAAGTCCATTAAGACTCTTCAGCTGATCCAGAATGCTGCAGCACGTGTTCTGACAGGAACCAGGAAAAGAGATCACATTTCTCCTGTTTTAGCTTCTTTGCATTGGCTTCCAGTAAAATCCAGAATAGAATTTAAAATCATTCTTCTTACCTTCAAAGCTCTTAATGGTCAGGCACCATCTTATCTTAAAGAGCTCATAGTACCTTACTACCCCACCAGAGCACTGCGCTCCCAGAATGCAGGGTTACTTGTGGTTCCTAGAGTCTCCAAAAGTAGACTAGGAGCCAGAGCGCTCAGCTATCAAGCTCCTCTCCTGTGGAACCAGGTTCCAGTTTGGGTTCAGGAGGCAGACACCATCTCCACATTTAAGAGTAGGCTTAAGACTTTCCTCTTTGATAAAGCTTATAGTTAGGGCTGGCTCAGGTAGTCCTGAACCATCCCTTAGTTATGCTGCTATAGGCCTAGACTGCCGGGGGATTTCCCATGATGCACTGAGCTCCTCTCTCCTCTACTTTCTCTCCCTCTGTATGCAACCTTATCCCATTATTGCATGTTACTAACACAACTTCTCCCCTTTCTGGTAGTCTTGTGCTTTCTCGTCCCTCTCCTCTCTCCTCCTATCACTTCCTGCAGGTGTTTCTGGCTCTGGAGCTGTGGAGTCTGGATCTGTGGTTGCGGGTCACCTGCTGCCCCCGTGTTCCTGCTCGACACCCTCTGCTGCAATGACTATTGTTGCTAGTCTTATTGTTATTATTGTTATTATAATCATTAACATTACGATGGTTACCATTAACACTATTATAAATATCTGTACCATTTTTCATTTAGTTTATAGCAACATTACCTTCGCTGTCTGTACCTCTGTGTGTATATTGTGTAGGCTGCCTCCCTCCCCTCTCTCTCTCTGTCTCTCTCTCTCTCTCTCTCTCTCTTTCACTCTCTTTCTCTCTCTCTCACCCCAACCGGTCGAGGCAGATGGTCGCCCACCCTGAGCCATGGTTCTGCTCGAGGTTTCTGCCTCTTAAAAGGAAGTTTTTCCTTGCCTCTGTCTCCTAGTGCTGCTCTTGGTGGGAACTGTTGGGCTTCTGTAAATATCATCACAGAGTACGGTCTAGACCTGCTCTTTATGAAAAGCGCTGTGAGATAACTGTTGTTGTGATTTGGCGCTATATAAATAAAATTGAATTGAATTGAATCCTTCAATCCCTGATGAACCCACGGAATCTTAGATCTTCTGTCAACACGAGGCCAGAAACATGTGCTTCAAGTATTTTGGTTGTGTATTCTAGTGTATATTTGTACACAGAAAACTACACAGTGGAGTGCAGTCTGATTCCAGGAAACATCGAGTCAAGCCGCCGCCGGCTGGCGACACTGAAGTGAAGCTGAGCGTTCAGTTAGTACTTTTACTGCAGAAACACTTTCAATGCAGTACTTTTACTTTTCACACTTTTATTGTGTGGTATTAGTACTTTTACTGCACATTTTACTGCAGGACTTTTACTTTTCACAGAGTACTTTTATTGTGTGGTATTAGTACTTTTACTGAAGTAACATTTAGACACTCTGAAACACAGGAGGGCTGAATTAAAGACTGGTCTTTAAATGTTTATCTGTGATTTATAAAATAGTTTATATTGACATCATTTTGAAAAGTCGCGATGAGTTTCAGCTGCGTCTGTTCCAATGAAGAAATCAAACTGTGATCGTAGTTGTATTAAAGAAAATGTGATCGTTACCATTATAATATTATAATTAGGATTCTAAAAGTGATCAGATGTTCGGTAGAGGAGATCAAAAAGCAGCAGTGAAGGTTTTAAATAAGCCACTCCGTCCTGGACTGTACGGTTTATTAAATGTGAAACACGTTTCAGTAAATGTTGCAGGAGCAGAAACCTTCCTGTCGTCTCCAGGGTCAGATGAAAACACTGAGATCTGTTCCAACGGCTCCATAATCAGAGGGTTAGTTTGAGCTGGAGGAGTTTAGATCGTTAGAAAGGTTTTGCTGAGCTTTGATTAGTGGAGCTTGTTGGAGGTCAAACACAGCTCAGCCTGAGAGACTAAGTCAGGGCAAAGAAATACCCACTGGTGTTTCCATACATTTGTGAGGAAGCCGTTTAGTTGAAGTCACAGACAGAAAGAGGAAGTAGCCGCCGCGACGTCACCCTTTGGATTTGAGGACCGCAGTCTTGAAGCAATGAGTTTGGCAGTTTGGCGGAGCTAGCTAGCTTGGTTAGCAAGGTGCATCTGTAATTCTCGTTAACTGTGATATTAGCTGGGATGCTAATTTTGGCTAGCGATAAAATGGCTTAAAACAAAACGTACTTACCGGACTTGTCAATCAGCTTGTAGCCCCGCCCTAAAGCCTCCCCTGCTTCCTGGTCTCTGTTCCTCTAAATGGGACCATAATTTACTAAATGAACATCATGCTGTGTTGAAGAAGACTTGAAACTAGCGACTGAGACCATAAACTCATCAGGAAAGTGTTTACTGAGGGAATAAATCAGCTGACAAGTAGAGAGAAAAGCTTGGATTGTAACTTCCTGGGGCCCGTCGGGGTATTATTTCAAGAATAAAGCTGAAATATTTTGAGCCGCTGGGGAAACCTGTAACTTCAGATAATCCTCCAAATCTTTTCTTCTCCGTTTCTTTACTTTATACTTAAATTATGACTTTATTCTGTTTCTAATACTGCGTTGTCCTGTGGAAACTGACAAAGGATCCGTCCATAAAATACAGATATTATAATAATAATAATAATAATATTGTTTTCTATGTTCTTCCTACAAATTAAGACAAACTCCAGAGGTTTTGAGTCCATGTCCTTGTTTATATAAAACTTTACCAAAAGAAGTATTTACAAATTCAGAGTCATTGGTACAAGTCAACAATCGAGTGCAAACTGACAGACAGATGAACCTGGCCGATCCTCCACACAGGTTCATACAAACACAAACGTCTCGACAGGAAGAGGAAGTTTAAAAGATCCTGGAAGGTTTCTGAGGCATCCTATTGGACGGCTCTCCACCTGGAGGGTCCAATGAGGAAACCGAGTCCTGCTGGATCCTATAAGACTGAAAATCCTTCAGAGTCTTATAAGATGCGACAGGATCACTTTAAAAGTGCCAGCAGGTGGCGCTCCAGGCCGTTTGTGTCAATGACAAAGTGGATTCAACAGAAACCAGAACAAGCTGAAACCAAGAAACTTTTTTTAGATTCAATTTGTTTCTGGAAAACTCCGTAAATGAAACAAAACCTTCCAGCCTCATCAGCATCTTCAGTCTTTGTTTTAAACGAGCACTTTTAACGAGATGAAGTTAAAAAATAAAGTCTGATGTCGAGTTCGTCATCTCAAGCAGCAACACGATAAATACAGAACGATACGATTTATCAGTAGAATTAATCTCCAGAAAACTAACTTTTTTTCAAAACCTCCCGGCATTTCAAGATAATTCTCAGACAACGAACTCGTGAGACACAAAACGCCGTTCTCTAGAGATGAGGTCATCACCATGAGACGTTTTTTATTTTAATCATCATAAGTGACGTTCAGATAACAAACTTCAGTTCTCCAGGCTTTTATCCCAAACTGTGCTTCTGGTTCCTGATAATTAATAACAAACACTGAAAGTTTTTTTCAGATAATTATCCGTTAAGTTAACGAGGTATTTTCATTACATCTCGTTTCTTCTCTCCGGCCTGAGAAAACGACGTGTTGTCCGTGACGAGGTATCGATCAAGGCTGCAGGTTCAGGAAACAGGAAATCGTTTCCGATTAAAATCAACAAGAAATCAAATTCAGATTTTGTTCCAGCTGTCGTCACGGTAACTGTTGAATCCTAAAATCTCAGCAGCAACTTAAAGATAAAGAAACGGCAGCTCTGATTGGCCGTCACCATCGCCTGGAGCCACCTGCTGAGCGTCCTCTCCGTCCTCGTTCACCACCACCCAAAAGAAATCAACTTCCACCTCCGTTAAATAAAATAATTAATATTAATATTTATATTTCCCCAAACTGTTTTACAAAAACAGAAAATAAAATAAGTTGTTTTCTTTGTTTGAATCAGAAAACATTTGATTCAGAAGAAAACAAAAGAAGAAGTTTAGTTTTTTGTCTCCACATCGACCTGAAAACGTTTCTGTCCTGAGATCAGTTTCTACAGGAAGTCTGAAATTATTAATCCGTGCGCGTTTCACGCCTGCGAAAAATCTAAACTTCATGACCCCAGGAAGAAAAATAAAACAGCTGTTCCTCACTTCCTGCTTCGATCTGGAGACAAAAGCAACAAACTTTCCTCCTAAAGCGAAGCAGCTGTGGACGCCGCCGCTTCCCGCGTCCTCGACTCTAATTGAGTCGCACGCCGCCAACGCGCAGCAACAGAAACACATTCAGGACGCCGTCTTCAACGCGGCGCCCGCAGCAGGACACGTGATTATTATGATTCATTCATTAAAAAGCTGCTCCAATCCCAGAGCGCGTTCACCCCCAGCCCCGTCACACCATCAGCTGATCGCCACCCCCCCGGTAAACTGATTGATTTCTATAACAAATAAAAAGGCGCCCAGCTGAATTTAACTGAAATAAAAAGATTCAGCATCGTTTTATTTTGCCGAGTCATTTTCATTGGCCCCCCCCACCCCTGTGGCTCTGCGACCCCCCAGGAGGACCCGCCCCTCAGTTTGAGAACCACTGGTCTGAGGGAACGCCGCTAACGCTAACACAACCGTATGGCTTCTGTACAGATGAAGAAAAGGCACCGACACAAACAACTCGCCCCAAAATGGCCGCCGACATGAAGTCGTTTTCACTGCGCAGCTCGTCCGAAACACTCGAGACGCCGTCTGCCGGCGTCGAGCCGGAGAGGAAGCTGCTCGGCGAAAACATCCGATCGATCAGCAGCCGATAATCAATATGTTACCTACAGTCAGTGTAAGGCGGATCCTCTTAGCTCAGGTAGGAAAGAGATTTAAGGCAGAGAGGGTGAGACCACCAACGCTCCTCCTGCTCCTCCTCCTCTCAGTCTGTGATGTGGACGGCAGGGGGGGGAGATGCGACGCCTCCCTGAGCTCTGAGGAGGAGGGGGAGGGGGAGAGGTTAGTGATGCAGAGTTAAAAGCAGACGTTAGGAGCACCTCCTCTTCCTCCTCCAGGGGAAGGAGCAGAGGAGCAGGAAAGCGAGTCTCTGCTCTCTCATCGCCTCCTCCGTTTACTCACAGGAGGAGCAAAAGGAGGCGAGGAGCCTTTAGTGTCTTTAGTTCAGGAGGCGCTGATGGAGAGCAGAGACGTTTCAAAAGAGAGGAGGAAAATAAAGTGTCTCCTCTTTTCTCCAGAGTCTTCAGGAGTTCAGTAGGAGGCGAGGAGAGGGAGGAGGAGGAGGAGGAGGTCTGCAAGAGATCATACAAGGCTGGGGGGAGGGAAGCAGGAGGAGGGGGGAGTGAGGGAGAAACCAGGAGAGGGCGAGAGACCTTTGCAGAGAGCAGGTGAGCGAGCAGCAGGTGACCCTCAGTGACTCTTGTTCTGACCTTTGACCCCGAGAGCAGACAGGAAGTGAGCACCCGGAGACGCCACAGAGAGACAGCGAGAGAGCGAGAGAGAGAGTCATTTCACCAGCACTGACTTTGGCAGAAACGCCTCCATCTCGGCGCCTTCGTCCGTCCTCGGCGACGGCGACGATGCCGAGGAAGACGAGGAGGAGCTCGGGGACGAAGAGCCGGCCGCTTTGGGGAGGCTGTACATGTAGACGGCGCCGATGACGAGCCCCGCCCCCGCCGTGAAGAGCAGGTCCACGTGGAAGCCGAACAGGTAAATTGACATCACCGTGGAGACGATGATGGAGAAGGAGGTGGCGAAGCCCTTCAGGATGTTGTCGGCGTACTTCACCACCACCGCCACCAGCAGCCCGCCAAACGCCTGGTTGAAGATGACGCACCACACCATGTCCGTGTAGCCGAACAAGAAGCCACGCTCGGCGATGGCGGCGCCGTCGTTCCACCACAGTCCCAGCATGCCGAGCACCGTGCCGAAGATCCCCAGCTGCACGTTCCTCACCCACACGGACGCCGAGCTGCCCTTCAGGATCTTCTCGAAGTAAACGCCGGCGAAGCCCGACGACAGGCAGCTGATCACCACGGCAACCAACCCCACAGTGTAGTTCTGACCGGCGCTATCTGACACCGCCGCCTCCTTCTTCCCCTCTTGCTGCACCTGCAACGACCAATCAGAGTCCATCGATCAGTTCACTGAGCGATCAGGAAGTTAGAATAAGAATCAGTAACACCGAGTGACGGCAGGGGTGAGAGTGACGGCAGGAGGTGAGAGTGACGGCAGGAGGTGAGAGTGACGGTGAGGGTGAGAGTGACGGCAGGAGGTGAGAGTGACGGCAGGAGGTGAGAGTGACGGCAGGAGGTGAGAGTGACGGCAGGAGGTGAGAGTGACGGTGAGGGTGAGGGTGACGGCAGGAGGTGAGAGTGACGGCAGGAGGTGAGAGTGACGGCAGGAGGTGAGAGTGACGGCAGGAGGTGACAGTGACGGCAGGAGGTGAGAGTGACGGCAGGAGGTGACAGTGACGGCAGGAGGTGAGAGTGACGGCAGGAGGTGAGAGTGACGGCAGGAGGTGAGAGTGAAGGCAGGGGTGAGGGTCAGAGTGACGGCAGGGGTGAGAGTGACGGCCGGGGTGAGGGTGAGAGTGACGGCAGGGGTGAGGGTGGCGGCAGGGGTGAGAGTGAGAGTGACGGCAGGGGTGAGGGTGGCGGCAGGAGGTGACAGTGACGGCAGGGGTGAGAGTGACGGCAAGAGGTGGGAGTGACGGCAAGAGGTGACAGTGACGGCAGGGGTGAGAGTGACGGCAGGGGTGAGAGTGACGGCAGGGGTGAGGGTGAGAGTGACGGCAGGAGTGGGAGTAACGGCAGGTGTGAGAGTGAAGGCAGGGGTGAGGGTGAGAGTGACGGCAGGGGTGAGGGTGAGAGTGACGGCAGGGGTGAGAGTGACGGCAGGGGTGAGGGTGAGAGTGACGGCAGGGGTGAGAGTGACGGCAGGAGGTGAGAGTGACGGCAGGGGTGAGAGTGACGGCAGGAGGTGAGAGTGACGGTGAGGGTGAGAGTGACGGCAGGGGTGAGGGTGAGAGTGACGGCAGGAGGTGAGAGTGACGGCAGGGGTGAGAGTGACGGCAGGGGTGAGAGTGACGGCAGGGGTGAGGGTGAGAGTGACGGCAGGGGTGAGGGTGAGAGTGACGGCAGGGGTGAGGGTGGCGGCAGGGGTGAGAGTGAGAGTGACGGCAGGGGTGAGGGTGAGAGTGACGGCAGGGGTGAGGGTGGCGGCAGGGGTGAGAGTGAGAGTGACGGCAGGGGTGAGGGTGGCGGCAGGGGTGAGAGTGAGAGTGACGGCAGGGGTGAGGGTGGCGGCAGGAGGTGACAGTGACGGCAGGGGTGAGAGTGACGGCAAGAGGTGGGAGTGACGGCAAGAGGTGACAGTGACGGCAGGGGTGAGAGTGACGGCAAGAGGTGGGAGTGGCGGCAGGGGTGAGAGTGGCGGCAGGAGGTGAGAGTGGCGGCAGGAGGTGAGAGTGACGGCAAGAGGTGGGAGTGACGGCAAGAGGTGAGGGTGGGAGTGACGGCAGGGGTGAGGGTGGGAGTGACGGCAGGGGTGAGGGTGGGAGTGACGGCAGGAGTGAGAGTGAAGGCAGGGGTGAGAGTGAAGGCAGGGGTGAGAGTGACGGCAGGGGTGAGAGTGACGGCAGGGGTGAGGGTGGGAGTGACGGCAGGGGTGAGGGTGGGAGTGACGGCAGGGGTGAGGGTGGGAGTGACGGCAGGGGTGAGAGTGACGGCAGGGGTGAGAGTGACGGCAGGGGTGAGAGTGACGGCAGGGGTGAGAGTGAGAGTGACGGCAGGGGTGAGAGTGAGAGTGACGGCAGGGGTGAGAGTGACGGCAGGGGTGAGAGTGACGGCAGGGGTGAGAGTGAGAGTGAAGGCAGGGGTGAGAGTGACGGCAGGGGTGAGGGTGAGAGTGACGGCAGGGGTGAGGGTGACGGCAGGGGTGAGGGTGAGAGTGACGGCAGGAGTGGGAGTAACGGCAGGTGTGAGGGTGAGAGTGACGGCAGGAGTGGGAGTAACGGCAGGTGTGAGAGTGAAGGCAGGGGTGAGGGTGAGAGTGACGGCAGGGGTGAGAGTGGCGGCAGGAGTGAGAGTGACGGCAGGGGTGAGGGTGAGAGTGACGGCAGGGGTGAGGGTGAGAGTGAAGGCAGGGGTGAGAGTGACGGCAGGGGTGAGGGTGAGAGTGACGGCAGGGGTGAGGGTGAGAGTGACGGCAGGAGTGGGAGTAACGGCAGGTGTGAGAGTGAAGGCAGGGGTGAGGGTGAGAGTGACGGCAGGAGTGAGAGTGACGGCAGGGGTGAGGGTGAGAGTGAAGGCAGGGGTGAGGGTGAGAGTGAAGGCAGGGGTGAGGGTGAGAGTGAAGGCAGGGGTGAGGGTGAGAGTGAAGGCAGGGGTGAGAGTGAAGGCAGGGGTGAGAGTGAAGGCAGGGGTGAGGGTGAGAGTGAAGGCAGGGGTGAGGGTGAGAGTGAAGGCAGGGGTGAGAGTGAAGGCAGGGGTGAGAGTGAAGGCAGGGGTGAGAGTGACGGCAGGGGTGAGAGTGACGGCAGGGGTGAGGGTGACGGCAGGGGTGAGGGTGAGAGTGACGGCAGGAGTGGGAGTAACGGCAGGTGTGAGAGTGAAGGCAGGGGTGAGGGTGAGAGTGACGGCAGGGGTGAGAGTGACGGCAGGGGTGAGAGTGACGGCAGGGGTGAGAGTGACGGCAGGAGTGACGGCAGGGGTGAGAGTGAGGGGTGAGAGTGACGGCAGGAGTGAGAGTGAGAGTGACGGCAGGGGTGAGAGTGACGGCAGGGGTGAGAGTGACGGCAGGGGTGAGAGTGACGGCAGGGGTGAGAGTGGCGGCAGGGGTGAGAGTGGCGGCAGGGGTGAGAGTGGCGGCAGGAGTGAGAGTGGCGGCAGGAGTGAGAGTGGCGGCAGGAGTGAGAGTGGCGGCAGGAGTGAGAGTGACGGCAGGGGTGAGAGTGAAGGCAGGAGTGAGAGTGAGAGTGACGGCAGGGGTGAGAGTGACGGCAGGGGTGAGAGTGACGGCAGGGGTGAGAGTGACGGCAGGGGTGAGAGTGGCGGCAGGGGTGAGAGTGGCGGCAGGAGTGGGAGTGAGAGTGGCGGCAGGGGTGAGAGTGGCGGCAGGGGTGAGAGTGACGGCAGGGGTGAGAGTGACGGCAGGGGTGAGAGTGACGGCAGGGGTGAGAGTGGGAGTGGCGGCAGGAGTGGGAGTGGCGGCAGGAGTGGGAGTGGCGGCAGGGGTGAGAGTGAGAGTGGCGGCAGGGGTGAGAGTGAGAGTGGCGGCAGGGGTGAGAGTGAGAGTGGCGGCAGGGGTGAGAGTGACGGCAGGGGTGAGAGTGACGGCAGGGGTGAGAGTGAGAGTGACGGCAGGGGTGAGAGTGACGGCAAGAGGTCAGAGTGACGGCAGGAGGTGAGAGTGACGGCAGGGGTGAGAGTGACGGCAGGGGTGAGAGTGACGGCAAGAGGTCAGAGTGACGGCAGGAGGTGGGAGTGACGGCAGGAGGTGAGAGTGACGGCAGGAGGTGAGAGTGACGGCAGGAGGTGAGAGTGACGGCAGGAGGTGAGAGTGACGGCAGGAGGTGAGAGTGACGGCAGGAGGTGAGAGTGACGGCAGGAGGTGAGAGTGACGGCAGGAGGTCAGAGTGAACACAGGTGAGCTGCAGGTGAGAGGACGCACCTGTACGATGGCGACTCCGGCGAACAGCAGCAGCAGAGAGACCCACTGAACTTTCGACAGAGACTTCCTCAGCATCATCACGCTGAACAGAGCCGTGGTCAGGATCTTCAGCTGGTAGGTCACCTGGGGAGAGGACAGGAAGTCAGACAGGAAGCTGGTCTGGGTCTGAACAGCAGCCTTTAATAAAATAAAACCGCCCCGAGCGGCGGTCTGACCTGGAAGGTGGCGGCCGGGAGGTTGGAGATGGCGACGTACTGCAGGTTGTTCTGCAGAGTGTAGATGAGCGACGGAACGGCCAGCTTCAGAGTGTCTTTGTACTGAAACACGATGGCGTCCACCAGGAAGAGCGCCGTCTCCTTCACGCTGACTGCAGACAGAGAGAGAGACCATCAGCTGATCTGAGATCGGATCAATTCGTTCTGAACCGTTCAGATTTATTTAAGTCAGTAACCTTCAGCTGATGAACACCCGAATTCCCGTTCAGTCGGGGCGCCGCTGCTGAAATTTACCCGATCATTAATATCAAAGAGATACTAATGATTTTCAGTGTGAGCGTCGCCGTGCTGCACGGCGTGCTGGTGAAATCAGTGACGTTAGTTGGGATTTTATTGATCATGTGAAAGTTTAGTAGCAGCCGCCTGAGAACCACGTGTCTCCACTGTGTTCACCGCACAGGCGGGTTGCGCCTTTTTCGTTCTGTCAACATTACATTACTAATTGATCTCTAGATAATCGATTGTTGACATTTGTGAATCGATTCTGAACAATCTGTTATTTTCCACACCACTAACAGGAAGTGCCGTTAATTAGCTGCAGGTGATTTCTGCCTGCAGGGCATCAGGTAGAAGCTCAGACTGAACTCTGCACTGCACCATAGTGGAAGAAACTGACCTTGCAATATTTTTCTTTTCTGCGATATGAAAAAATACAAACATTTTCACCAGACGGCTTCAATTACTCACAGAAAAGAAAAATAAAGCTGAAAATGTTCCTTCTAGTCTGAATACAAGAGTGCAAACCACCCGTTCCGGAGCTTCACTGCAGTAAACATAAGTGTTTATTTTTAAAGTAAGAGAGAAAAAGCAAACATGAATAAACACCCCCCCCCCGTTTGATCCTAAAGCTCAGAAATGCTGTTTAACGCCGTGAGAGATTCACTTACATCTCTTCTGCAGCAGGATGATGAGCAGACAGGTCAGCACCTTCAGGAGCTCCGCCATGACCACGGCCGACGTGGTGAAGAAGCGGTCGCCCGGCAGCGTGCGGACGTATCTGATGCTGAGGATGAGCGATGCATTCTGGACCACCAGCACGGCCAGACTGATGTACTTCAGCCTCCGGTTCACTGCAGGAACAACACACAGGTCAAACCCCCAAACCGCCACAGGACTCCCTGTTTCAGCGTGACGCACAGCAGCTACATCGAGAAACGCTTCCCCCAGCCTGGACTCGACTGACCGCAGAGTCCAGAACCTCTCCGATTTACCTGCAGTCAGCTCAGATCGGCTCTACTCAGCACAGCGTGCAGCTGAGGCTGGTGGGAACGAGTCGGACTCGTTAACATGTTGACCTGAAGGTGGCGCTACACGGAGAGTTATTACAGTTCATCCTGAGGGGAAGATCCACGAGCCCAAATCCTGCTCTGGAGTAAAAGTGTTGTGCAAACTTGTGGAGGGACTGAGCAAATGATTGAGTTACAACAGACCGTCTTAGAAGAATTTCTGAATGAGCGAGTAAACAGAAGGACTAAAACAACAATCCGTGTGCGGTTCGTTCTTTCATTATTTCATTTCAAAACCACATCAGGAAAACCAAAAACAAGTCGTTTTTTTTCTGATTTAAACCCAAAACAGAAAAATCTTGATTTTGATATTTAATGAGTCTGATCTGCGGCTTTGTGCGTCACACTTGATAAACCCGCAGCAGACGCACCTGGCGAGGGCGGTGCCTGATTAAATGCAATTAAGACGAGCTTGAACATCAACAAAGGTCTTTAGTTATGGCGCTTTTCCAGGACCAGCTCAACTCGCCTCGACCTCCGTTTTCCATCGCAGACAGAACCCCTCAATGTAGCTGGTCGTCATAGTGACGCCACACTGCCGCGACATTCACCACCACGGGGTCCAGAGCCTTCGGCCCCTCGTCTCTTCCACCAGACAGCCGCAACATTGACTCACTTTCCATTTTTAAATCCCGCCTGAAAACACATCTTTCTAAACTGGCGTGATCTCTTTGTTTCCAGTTGTTTTGATTTTATGTAATTATACTTGTTCATTTTCTCCATTATTGCTGTACTGTTTTATTATGTTTCATGAGGTGACCTTGAGTGTTCAGAAAGGCGCCTATAAATAAAATGTTTAAATTAAATAAAGTTTTTTAAATTTAAAAAACTTTCAAGCACATTTTTGTTCCGCCATCACTTTTCGTAAGAGGAGGTCGCCCCCTCACCGTAGCCTATTTTCTTAGATCGCTCAGCTGCTTCAGATGCTGATCAAAACAAAATGCTGACGTAGAAGTTTGAGCGTTCGAGGCTCTGTGATCCAGCGCTCACTTCTAGAGTCATACTCGCCACAGCTGGTACGAGATGACACCTGAAAAGAAATATATAAACTTAAATATAAAATACTGAGCCTAACGTTGACTTTTTGTTTCACAGGATACACGAACACAAGTCCATCCATCCATCGTCAACCGCTTATCCTGCGTACAGGGTCGCGGGGGGGCTGGAGCCAATCCCAGCTGACATCGGGCGAAAGGCGGGGTACAACCTGGACAGGTCGCCAGTCCATCGCAGGGCCACACAGAGATGAACAACCACACACGCTCACACCTAAGGACAATTTTAGGGTCACCAATTAACCAATCAGCATGTCTTTGGACGGTGGGAGGAAGCCGGAGCGGAACACAAGTCTCCTGATTGAAAGGTCCTGGTCCTCCGTTCAGCCCGACCACGTCCTAACTCAGTCTTTGCTCTTAAATATCACAAACCTGCCTTTACGGTCACAAAGTGAAGGTACAGGGTTTCCCCCGCTGCGTTACAAACACAGACACGCCTTGACCACGGTCCAATGTGTGACGAGTCAGGGGTGACATCAGGTTGTAGGGATCCAACACCGGTCAAAGATGGAACAAAACACAGATCCTCTGTTTTCAGTTGGGGGTTGAAACCAGAAAAACCAAAAAACGATTTGGTTTTTCCGTTAACGAAATAATGAAAGAAGATTTACAACACAAATCAGCTGGACCAGAGGTTCTGTCTCTCAGGACACTCACCAACATCTGACCTTGACTGGTCCCAGTCCAAGCAAGTGAGGAAAACAATCCCTGACCTAAACCCTCCACATGTGGACAGACCAGGATAATGACTATAATAATAAAAGGAACAGGCTAAAGATTAAAAACACTATGTAAGACATAATAATGATAGAGATTAGTACCATCATAGGTTCTTGCATAAAAGAAGAAAAAAAAAAAACTATTTTCACACCCTTGCTAAATATCACCGTAGAAAAAGTAGATGTCTGAAATTTATATTTCTTTTTTTTTTTTTAAATTAACTTTTATTGAGAAAGCATGTTGAATTTCACAATTATTCGACATATGAAGTACATTACGTTGCTTTACCAATTTAAACTTTCTATTACAGTAACATCAGAACTCAGGTGTGTGTGGGGGGGGGTAACCAAATTACTTCCATAATATTCATGTTATTCATTTTAACTTTCGAATCTGTGCACACTTAGTAAGAAGCAGCAGTGTTTACAAAACCACTAACAGGCTTAACATATTCAGAATATGAAACTAACAGAACGTAAAGCAGGAACCAGCAGCCGGTGAGTTTTGGACAAAGCACATTTCTTCTATATTTAAATTGCACGTTTTCTCACTGTGCAAATGAACCTTTCTCAAAAAGTATTTTCATTTCGTCGTTTAACATTTCCTGTTGGAAGCTATCTTTATTAAACGACCCAGCAGGACAGAGAGGAGGAAACAACGAACGTCCTGAACACGCAGTGGAACAGCAGCAGGGTGAGTTACCTGGAGCCCTGCAGGTGCGACACCGCCAACAACAGAGCGTGTGTTCTGAGGCTGCACCTGAACAAACCTCCACGTCAGCAGCTGCCGCCCCCCCGGACACCGCGAGCTGCCTGCCGCCCTCCCGGACACCAACAGCTGCCTACCGCCCCCCCCCCGGACACCGCGAGCTACCTGCCGCCCCCCCCCCGGACACCGTCAGCTGCCTGCCGCCCCCCCCGGACACCGCGAGCTGCCTGCCGCCCCCCCGGACACCGTCAGCTGCCTACCGCCCCCCCCCCCCCGGACACCGTCAGCTGCCTGCCGCCCCCCCCGGACACCGCGAGCTGCCTGCCGCCCCCCCCCCGGACACCGCGAGCTGCCTGCCGCCCCGGGTTCACCTTTAGCTCGGCTGTTAGCATAACTGACGGCGGCGGGCCGGTTAGCTGCGGGGGAACTAGTTCTACACTGGTAACCAGTAGGGAAGCTAACTGCTGCTAGTTAGCATGGTTAGCTAACAGCTCCTTACTTTAAATTAGAATGACGTCACTAGCTTCGCTAATTAAAGTTACTGTTATTAAAATTACTGAAGTAACTTTAGTTAGTTAGCATCGTGCTAGTTAGCTTTCCCGGTTCCCTCGTTAGCTCAGTTAGGCTAGTTTAGCCGCTAGTTAGCTGTTAGACACAGAAACTGTTTATTATCTTAGACAGAATTTAATTATAATTCTGATTAAATTAAAACTCAGCCGGTGCTGGATCGACACCTCCGGACTCTCAGCAGGCTGCTGCCCGGTGTTAAGAGCCAGGAGGGCCGCGTGAAGTGAACTCATCTCCCGGGTCTCGGTTCTCCCTCCCCGGACTCACCTTCGCTCTGACCCCGGCTCGCTGCCTTCTCCTCGGCCGCCTGGCTGTGGTTCCCTCCGGACATGCTGCGCTCCATCTGCTCGCCGCCCTGACCGAGCCTGGACCCCGCTGGCTAACGGCTAACGCTCCGCTAGCCTCCCAGCTAGCCCGGTTCAGACCCGACCGGAGCTCCCGGTAGTTGTTCGGGTGAAAGCGGGTCTGTCAGGAAGATGCTAGACCGGGGCTGAGGAGAGAGGAGCCTGCGGGGGAAGAACGGGGACCACCGGCATGGAAACGGTACGTGGAGGATCTGCGGTGTCCAGGAAGTGCAGGAACTTCAGGAACTCCTGCTGCGGAGAGAAGCTGTCTGACAGGAGGTCTCACTCTGAGGGAGAAACTCGCTGCTTCCTCCTCACTGAACTGTAAATAACAACAATAATAATACATATTACTGTTTATTATATACACACAAAACATAAATCAAACACAATACTGTTTAGATCAAATCTGCTTTTATTATGTATAAAAGCAGATTTATATATGTGGGTACGTTATTTTATTAGTATTGTTAATCAGAATCAAAAACAGTAGTTTTTAAATGTCCAAGGAATTTGCTTTGGTGACAGAGTGAGACCTCTTACTCCTCCTGCTTCAGTCGCTTCCTTGTTACAGGTTGAACATGGAGGGATCCTATTGGCTGCTGGGTGACCACCTCACCTGTGGGATGTTGTCCAGCGGCTCCTGCTGGTTTAGTGAAGTTTCAGAGAGGCTGCAGCTCTCCTGTTTGTCACGTACACGTAGAAACAGGTCAGAGAAAGTAACTGGACTCTGAGGGTTTAGAGTAGATTGGAGTCCATTTGGTTTCACATCCCCAAAAACAAATTATAACAATCTGGAGGGTCAGAATTTCTGTTAAAATGTGACTTTGAAATTATTTATTATTAATTAATTATTACCTGTAAAGGTGACAGAATTTGTGATTTCTCTACTGGAAGATATTTCCCCACAATTTCACTCCACAACAAAACAATCTCAAATAATAGGAAGAAAACCTTATTTAAGTAACAGATCTAATGGATGACAGTGGTCATTTTGTTCAATTCAGTACCTTTAAAGGAAAATTCAATGTGCCGGGTTCATACAAGGAATTTAGCAAACTATGGAGAGCAACACCACAAAACAGCTGTCACACTGAAATGTACAAACTGTGAGATTTAAAGATTGGACAAGTGCAAATCAGTGATAAAAAGTGCAACAACAAAGCTATCCTGAACGTTTTCAACCGTCACCTGTTTCATGAATACATGAAAAAACATATATTAAAATGGTAGATAATAATTTCATCGTGGATAAATACTCAGGATATCTAAAATAGCCTACTTCTCTAAAAAACAAAGAAATGCTGTTTAAATGTATTAATGTGTCATTTTATCCAGAAACAGTTTGACCTGCTGTTTCTGTCTGGAGGAGCACGAAACTACTGAACATCTTTTCTTTTCAGCTCACTTCAGTTGTTTTAAAAATGAATTAAAGTTTTATTTCTGTTCTCTACAACATCTGGCGGACACACAGCAGCTGCGTCCCCGAGACAGGCGGGTTCACATCAGCTGGGTTCCTTCTGTGCTGGACTCTTCAGTACAAAAGTGAACATAAAAGCAACATATCATAAGGACGCAACATTGCAAAGGAGACTTAAAACACATACAGGATCAGACGTACACGCTGTGCAGCTGAGGGTGCAACAGCAGGATAAACAGGATCTCGCAGACACACCTTCAAGACTTCAGACATGAAAGGTTTGTTCTAAAATAAAGTTCAATTTCTTTCTCAAAGACTACTGTGGTGTCCAAACAATAATGCTGCGATGATGTGTTGAGAGGAAACCCGCTTGACACTGTTCTTGATCATAAAAGTTTATTAAATCAAGGAGTTCAGCATCAATTACAAGCTCTGCAGCAGCTTGGAGAGAGACCCAGCCCGACGGCCACTCTGTCTCTCTGTACATCAAACACAGCTTATATAGGACATGTTTAGTATCTGTTAGACACCATAGAGGGGTTTGAGTCTGCAAAATAAAAGGTCAAACCCATAGAAGGGTACAGTACTATTCTGAGGTAACAAAACAAGGGGTTAGAGGTCAAATTCTATTGAAGGGTTCAGTCCCTACATAACCACCAATCACTGCTCTCCCTGTAGGAGGTCACTGACCCTCAGTTCTGCTGCTACAGTGCTATTTTGAACTGTTATGAGTCAAATGCACAAGTATTGGATACTACACTACAAATAGTTTTTTTTCTTTGCAAGTATAAATATATATGGAAATAAATAAATAAAAATAGATATTGTTCTTTTCTCCTGTCCGTATCTTTCTCATCGTACACAGGGAGGAGTGAACTTATATTATTATTTTAGTCATTTATTCTTTCTTTCTTATATTTCTACATTTATTCTTTTACTTGCTTGTTCTGACACTTTGGGTTTTCCATTTTCATTGAGAAACTGGTTCCAGTAAAAAGGGACGTTTGGTTTAGATTCAACATCTTGTTAGCCGGGAAGGGGAAGAGGAGCCGGACCGAGCCGGACCGAGCCGGACCGAGCCACGTCTCTGCGTTCGGACCGCGTTGGACGGATGTTCTCAGAACTGTTGGAACGGTTTTGTAGTAAGAAGGAAGATATTGGCAAAAGTTCTGGAAGGACCCGGATTCCAACCCAGACATGGAGGAATAATAAGAATACATTGTATTATAGTATTATTTATACTTGAACTCATTTGTTGATCTCCTTATTTTTATATATTTATATGTCCACGTGTACCGTAAGCACCAATTTACACCAATGCAAGTTCCTCGTATGTAAAAACGGCTCGGCGATCATAATCTGAGTGAGTCAAACAGAACCGGGCAGTGAAGATGTGGTCGTAGAGACGGAGTTTATGTATTTAAATGTATTTTATTTTTATAAGTTTAGCTTATTATGCAGGTAAATATATTTATTTATGGATAACAGAGCGCTGCTGTTCTGTCTGTATGTTAGTTGGGAAGAATTATTAGATCTTGTACAATTGTGAATAAAGATTTTGAAAAGAAAAAAAAACACTTCTGGATTGTGTTGTCATCCTTGCACACTATGAATTGTGGGTAATGCAGTGTTACAGAGAGAGGAAGCAGTCTGGACACAAAAGGTGAAAGAAAATAAACTCTTTTATTCAAACGTTGGATCTTTTTCTCCCCGTCGACCCGTTAAATTCTTATTTAATGTAAATAAACAGAAACAAGCGACCGAACGGCCGCTTTCATCACCAAACCCCCCAATAATACACAAGTATTTACGATGACATCACATCCCCACGCCAACGGGACGCGTGCCGCCACGAACCAGTTTCTGGGGATGCAGCGATCCGACGCCTTCAGTCCTGATACCTGGGCTTTGGGTTCTGATCTGATCCAGTGTAAATGATTCCTCACTGAGGAACTTCCTAACTTTGTAAAACTGTCCTAGCCCCGGTACCGGTCCGACGTCGGGACCGGATCGCTGCATCTCTCCCAGATTCACTGGTTTCCATCTGAAACAAAAATAAATCTCTTTGTTCGAACATTAAACGAAGAAAACAAACTCTTCTTCAACATGGAAATCTGACCTCAGAGTCCAGGTCTGACGTCTGCTGCTGGGACTGCTGGTTCTCCGGACCGGTCCTCTAAAGCCCCGAGGAACCTGGTCCCACGTGGAGAACGCGGAGAACGTGCAGCTGCTGAACGTGACCTCTCCCTTACTTATAAATAAATATCTAAACACACACCAACTTCTGTCTGAACATTTCCAGGAGGTGAAAAGAGGGCGGAGCCAGAAAAACAAAGAGCTCTGATGTAGGTGAACCAGTCCACGTCAGTCCAGAACCAAATAAATACTCAAGGTAATAAATAACCAAACAGGAAGCCAGTCTGCACAAATCAAACATGGCCGCCAAACCCACAAGAGATAAATAAAGAGCTGCAGGCAGGAAATGAAGTTTTCTCTTCCAGTCTAACAAACACAGGTGATCCGGTCCTCTAGAGTCCAGCATGAGGTCTGAGTCTGTGTCAGAGTCCAGAGACCAGAGGCAGGTTCAGGTTCAGGTTTATTCTCCTCTACAGCGACGGGCTGGGCAGAGAGCCGGGCTCCTCTCCTCCCTCCTCCTCCCCCTCCATCCAGGGGTGACACAGGACCTCCTCCAGGGTCGGGCGCTCCTCGGGGCGGTACGACAGGCACCAGCGAATCAGAGACTGGCATTCTGGGGAGGAAAGACAGGACAAGGTGATGACCAGTTCTCATTTCACAGGGGGCAGAGAGGTGGGCGGGGCCTCTGCTCACCTTTAGAGACTCGTCTGGTGAAGATGGGCGTGGCCCCGACGATCTCCGGGTCGCGCTCGAACGGGATGTCGCCGCAAACCATGTCGAAGAGCAAGACGCCCAGAGACCAGACGGTGAGAGAGACCGCCTCGTAGGACTGAGACTGGATCCACTCCGGAGGACTGTAGACCCGGGTACCTGAGGGGGCGAGGACAGGAGGCGAGGGTTATCAGGTGCAACGCACAGAACTCGCTCATGTAGTGACAGAACATCCAGAACCCGTCTGTACCTTCAAACTCGCTGTACGGCGTCTCCTTCAGAGGAGCTCCTGATCCAAAGTCCACCAGCTTGACCTCCAGCGTCCTCGTGTCGACCACGATGTTCTCGTCTTTGATGTCTCGGTGCACCACGCCGTGAGCGTGAACGAAGCGCAGCGCCTCCACGATCTGACGGAAGAACCTGCAGAAACAGAACGTACAGAGGACTTTAACACCACAAAAAGTACCGCAGAACCCCCCGGTGATCAGAACCCGAGAAGAACCCCCCGGTGATCAGAACCCGAGAAGAACCCCACAGTGATCAGAACCCGAGAAGAACCCCCCGGTGATCAGAACCCGAGCAGAACCCACAGTGATCAGAACCCGAGAAGAACCCCCCGGTGATCAGAACCCGAGAAGAACCCACAGTGATCAGAACCCGAGCAGAACCCACAGTGATCAGAACCCGAGAAGAATCCCCGGTGATCAGAACCCGAGAAGAACCCCCCGGTGATCAGAACCCGAGCAGAACCCACAGTGATCAGAACCCGAGCAGAACCCACAGTGATCAGAACCCGAGAAGAACCCCCGGTGATCAGAACCCGAGAAGAACCCACAGTGATCAGAACCCGAGAAGAATCCCCCGGTGATCAGAACCCGAGAAGAACCCACAGTGATCAGAACCCGAGCAGAACCCACAGTGATCAGAACCCGAGAAGAACCCACAGTGATCAGAACCCGAGCAGAACCCCACAGTGTTCGGACCTGAGTGCGAGGCGTTCGGGCAGCGCTCCCCTCTCGGTGATGTAGTCGAACAGGTCCTGGCAGTGCGGCGGTCGCTCCAGCACCAGCAGGAAGCCCCGCCCCTCCACCTCGAACCAGTCCAGCATGCGGACCACGCCCCCGTGACCCCCGACCTCTGACAGCCGCTGCAGCAGAGCGATCTCCATGGGAACTGGGCCGAGCTCGCCGGGCTGAGGGAGACAAACAGATAACGGATCAACTTCCTGTCCACTGATTTAAAACCGTTTTCTTTACGAGCTGAAAATAAGTGAAGTTCTGAAACTCCGCAGGTGAAATAACAAGACGGCCGCTGCTGAACCC